CCCCCCATGAATAAATATATCTTAAAGCTTGGCAGTTTTTGGTAAGTAGGACCTACAATGAATCTGACAGCTCAAGGCCAAACTTGAAAGTTAGTCAGTTTAATTAAATGTTATAAGTTTGTAAGCTGGCTTGGGAAGTATGTACTATATGGAAATAAATATACATTTTCATCTTCTAGCAAGAAACAGGAAAATTTCCCAGTTTTCAGTAACAAACTGGAGAGCAGCTGTAGAAAACATTTTCTTCTGTTTCTAACCTGAAGAAGATACTTCATCATACACTGGTTAAATCACACAATTTAAGATTATCTTACACTTTTTATTTCTGAATTTAATTTTTAATAATGTAAGAAAGCACTGTTTCATTCGGAAACAAACCACCCACATCAATCTCCTCCCCACCCCGTCTACCAACAACAAAACCCTAAAATTTTATTATAACATCTTTCTTATATAAAAAAAAATCTTCAATCTCTTCCCCTACTCCACCTCTGTCTAAAATTACCTCTTACTCTAATGTCACTGGAAGAATATAATTAAGCATACCCAGACAGATTCCACGATGGAATGATTTTAAATAACTGTAAGACAGCCTGTAGGGTCTGCATACACTTAAGATTTTAAAAAGGTGAAGTAAACACATTGTGAAAAGCACTTATACCCAAATCAGGACATCAGGAAATTCACAGTATCTGAATTTTTAAGTACAAATAAGCATCAAATTGAAGGTTTGAAACAGGAAACTATTATTAATGAAAACAGACATTTCTATACATCTAAAGTACTTACTAAAATTTGAAACCAAGTGAAAAAAAATCAAACCATAAAAACAACACTTACTATTTTTTTACACCAACCACAGTTTGGTCCTGCTTGTATACATTCACCACATGATTTTGCATTAGCTTTTATGCAGTCACTTCCACCTAGCAAAGAACACAAATCAGTCAATTTATAAAAAGTTGCTAACAACAACAGAATTTTAGTTTATTCCATTCTGGCCTTGTAAACTAAATTCTAACTACAACCAGGTTATTAACATGAGACATGATTGACATATTGCCATTAGCATGCATCTAACAATGATATATTTATCTATATAAATAACTGCTAAATATATATAGTTTCAAAGCAACATTAAACTGCTCCAATGAAATCAAGTGACTTACCTTGTTGAGCAAATCCATTCCATATCAAGCAACAGAGGATGCCAGCCCATGTGACCAATTTTAAATTAGTCTGAAATACAAAAACAGAACACCAAATTTTATGATTTATCTTAATGAGTAACCAAAACAAAAGAAAACCAAACCACCACCACCAAAAAAACCCACAAAGCATGAAACTGCAGACATGTAACTGTGTTTTAGAAGAGAAAAGGAACATGGAGCAGATGCAAATCAAATTATCTTAGCTGTACTAGTTGGACAGTTTTGCTCTAATACAACCATGTTTGTGGGCTAAACTGCATTTAGAAGGCCTCAAACACAGTAGCTTCTTAAATGATTTTGAAATACTCTAGTGCTAGGTAAACCAGCAAGCTAGGAGAAATTTGGAAACACTGTTCAGTTGGTGGTGGGAAGAACTCAAACCAGTCTATTAACATCTTATAATAAAATGTTTATGCTCTGAATGTTATTAGAGAGAGACTTCTACATAAAGATAACACAGAAACACAAGACGGAAATAGAGCTTCTCTACTAAGTCTCTGTTTTAAGATAAACATCAAGGCCCCTTACAAAATATTTTCCTCAGAATCTTCAAAGGGCATTGTACAGCCTAACTTTGCACCTTATACTCCAAACTAGAAATCTCGTCTCACAATATGAAACATAAAGCATCTTTGATATAAACTCAGCCCATTTTTCTTCTTTAGACAACAGAGAATTAATAGGTACCATCCTTAGTAAAGAAAAAATACTCTACACTTTGTTCAGTGTTATAAATCTTAATGAAAGCCTGGCAGAAAAATACATACAAACTATATAATATATACACATTGTAAGACAAGATTTGAATGTTTATAAGCCACAATTTAGGATTACTGACTGGTCATTGTCACTAATCAGCAGTGAGACTTCACTCCATACTACAGAGCTAGGATTACATTCTAAAAATAGGTTCCAAATAGATCATTTTTTCCTAAATTTTCTTCCACTTAATAGCAGATAGTCAGTCAGGGTCAGTTGTCACATCTTTGAAATTTTGGTACTGCTTTAAATTCCATTTCTCTTTTATTCCTTATAAGAATTCTGAGAACTTGGACCATAGCTGCCAATTTCCTTGGTCATCCTGAAATGTTGTTGCTAATTAAAGCCTTTCCAGTCATCTTGGAAACATCAGTATTATTAATGCCTTTTTGTTCTAAAAAATATCTTGCAATATTGCCAAAAAAAAGTGAATTTGGCAGTGTTCTAAAATGAACCTGTCATTTTCTAGAAGACGTACTATTATTCATACAAATTAGCAGCAAAGTGAGCAATGCTTAAATTAACACAGCAGTTGAGCTTTGATTTTCCCACACTAATTTTAAGGTCATTCATAGCTGTTACTTTGCACATCCAGCCAGACCTAACGGAGAAGCGAGAGCTGCTCTAAAATCTCGTGGAGAAGTTTTCAAACAGAAGCCAACCTTTTGCTAGCAAATTGTATCCAACAACAGTATTAGATGGTTCATATTTTTCTGATAAATCATTATGGCCCACTCTTCACTGGATGCTGTAGCTAGAGGGTGGTGGGGAGTTTAGACACAGGAGAATCAAGACAATTTGTTGTGGAATGACTTTGCATTGCACATAAAAAATTAATGATAAAAAGCCAAATAAATAACTGAACTGTGCATTATACCTTAACTTTTGAACATTACTTATTGCACATATCTAATTCCAGTTTTTCCCTCTGCCCATTGCTGCTGAGGTGATCAGTTCTTCATTCACAAAAAACTCTCTTCACAAACACTTACTTCCCTCCAATTAAAGGATATTTTGTTACTCTAGAAGCAGTTTTTGCTTTAAGTAGAGCCCAGAATGGGGTGGGCTTTTCAGTGAGAAAAAAAAAAAAAAAAGCTGCTGGCATCAGTTTAGTACTGTCTTTTCTGTTAGTCAAAACAAGAAAATTATAAACAGTTCACCTTTTTAGGGCAGACCAGCAGCGGATGCAGAGCGAGCCCATGCAGACTGTATAAATAAGTCAGCAAAGATGTGACACAGTGCGAAAACTATGATTAAGAACATTTGGAAGAGAAATGTTCCTGTGGAAATGCATCCACGTGATGAATGTAGTTCTGGGCACAGACTGCCCGTAAAGTGAACAAGGAAAATGTCCTCTTCCATATATGGCCAAGCCAATGCCTCTCCTAAAGCAAGCCGCCTGCCCTCCGACACATGCTAGCTCGCTTCCTCTACCTCCGCTGCATAATAGCTTTTCCATCTGCTGAGTTTTGGAAAAGCTCGAGTAAAGGTTTGCTAATTTGGATTCAATTCTGATTGTTCTTTAATGCAAGCGAAGCGATGCCCATCTTCAGGCTCCAGACCTCCTCCTAGCCACCGCAGCACCCTGGTCACAACACTGTCAAATACATTCTCCCGCAAGTCACTGGTTAGTGCTGTGGATTGCCCTGTTGCAGATTTTTCTATTCAGGGAATAAACCAAAGCAAAGAACGCCTAACTACACTAGACAGCCAAAGGAAGGCTTTGGAAACAGTTGATGGAGCTGGAACTAAACCCCATGTCAGCATTCAACCACAGATGATGGGAACAGAAAAGAACCCATTGTTACAAGAAAGAAATTAATTTTTTTGCGCAACATTTACATATTTCCTATTATACTTGTTCTCCCCTTTTTAATTAAATACTTGAAAATTATCCCAGAACCCTTGAAAAAGTGATGTTTTCTTCCCCTCTGAAAAATAGCAGCTCAAAGCTTACAAAAGGTAAGCTTGCCAAGAACTGAAATCTCTTTAATAACTCTATCACCAGTTGGATCTTTTTAAAAAGTCTGAAAATGGTGTGCTGTTAAAAAACTGCTTTTAAAATTATTTCTGCACATTTGTGAACAGTCCTCTATTTTTGTTAAATATTTTAGGAAGACAAACATGGCCATAACCTAGAATGTTTGGACTCGTTGCTTTCTAAGTTTTTTTTGCTAACTGCCTCTACAAACAGTAATACTTGAAGCAAATTTTTTCTTTATAAAACCAGCTTTAATGGAAATCTCTGGAGCTTCTAACTTGAAATGAGAGACTTATTAAGTGACAACAGGAAAAAGAAGGATTATTTCTCCATAGTGAGACTAATTTTGATTTTGCAAATCAAATATTTAGCACCTTTGTATTCTGCTAATCATCAAGATATTTAGAAATTAAGTTTACTACGCCACAGCAGTAAAGCCTTCTGCAGCTTTTAAAATTTGTCAGAACAGCAACACCACCTGTGCAGAAAGTTAACTTGGGCAAATGGGATCAAGAAAAAAACCCCTGTAAGAGTTATAGAAACACCAATTCCTTTGAAACGAAATACCACTGGCTATGCTGCTGTCCTCTCACCACTCTGCAGCTCAGCAATTCACCCCACCTAATGCAGGCCACAGTTTATCCCAAAATCAAGACAACATTAACAATGTAGGCCAATGCAGTATTACTCTACTCAGCTGAGCAGCTCCTCGGCTGACCCAGTACTCTGGCATCCACCAAGCCAATGCCAAGCAAAGGAAAACACTACAAGGCATATGTCCCTACTGCATACTGAAGTGTGCCTTGCTGCAAAGCTTTCTACCTAAATACATAACCACACTTCAGGCCACGGGGAATCATTTAAATATACAGTAAGAGTGGAGTTGTGCAGAAGCCACCTTTTTGAGGCAGTCACATCCCCACACACCACTCTAATTACACTTTTAAACCTAGAAATGAATAAGCAACTCACACTTTCAAACTAGCATTCGTGCTTCCCGCAGACTGACACCTCTTTGCATCAGCTGTGTTTTCACGGGTTTAAGGCTCGACTCAGAAATGCTGTATGGAACTGATCCCTCCTAGAGCCGAGATTATGGTTACAGCCACTTTCACCTATTGTAAGGATGGAAAGTCACTTAAGAAAGCCGCCCCATCTTCTTTGTTGATTATACACCCTTGGGAGGTTGATTATTGTTACTGCTTTCCTTTCTGACCAGTGCTAACATTGGTGCAGTCATCAAGGAGCAAGCAAGCAAAAGATCTGGCTGAAACACTAATTCAACAAAGAAAGTGGCTAGTTTCAGCCATCTGGGTACAAAAATGCTCATCCTGACATGGTGGAGGTGGCAAAATGGGGATGGAGAAAAAGAGAACTGGGGGGAAAAAAAAGCAAAGAATACTGCTTCTCAGACACAGTCTGTGGCTGTATGCTGGACTACAGTGGTCACAGTCAGCCCCCACTCCCAGTCATCAAAGCTCTGGTTATAAAAAGAGCAGGAAGAGACATGTTTCTAAAATAAGCAAAATTGAATAGTCTCTGGAGACCTGTTTCAGGACTTGATGGCTACCCTGCTAAAAAAGTTCCTTCCTCCTTCACTCCAGAAGGTTTACTGACTTCAGCTGATGGCCACCCTTTTCTGCATGAATTTTACAGACTGTCAAGAAGGATCCCATTCATATTTCTGAAAATAAATGGAGAAAAAAAAGACACAGTGATTTTTCTTAACTGGAGAAACCAAACAACCCAGGTGATGTGGGACAGCAGTTACATGGACACTAAAGACCTCTAACAATGACCCACATCTCTGTCAGCACTCCTGATGGCCAGAACTCCCACAACACACATTAAGTACAAACCCAAATTTGACTTGACACGCAACAACTCTGTGCACATCTGCTTGTACAGCAAATGAAAGTGGTAAAATGGCATCCTGTTGCTCTGTCTCGAGAGAAGTATGTTGCTCAGAAAGACATAAGTACAGAAATTAAAGTATCTCATACCAAGGAGTTACTTCTGATTAAAACTTACAAGTTTGTGGTGTAGATTTTCTGATTAATCTTAAATAGGCAATTCTTCATTTGTGACGTTAACAGCTATCTTATTTACTTAATCAACGTAAATGTTACTATAATACTGAATTACAGCTGGGATACACCGCTTGCACAGTAAATTCCAGGACCACCAGATCAAGAAACAGCATGATGTATTCTTCTTCATGGAAGTGGAGATTTGGGGTAAACACTGATAGCTGAAAAGCAAGAAATTTTAATAAAAGAACCAAAACC